CCCCAAAACCCCAAAACCCCACTAACCTAATAAAATTTATGAGGAGAATTAAATGTAATTTGAATTTAAATCTAGAAATGGCAAAAAATACTTTTATTGGAATAGCCTCTTCAATTTTACTTTTGCTAAATATTAAAAGAATAAATGGCATTGCAGATGGACAAATTAATTGCCCTGTCCTAAATTGTGCTCCTAATATTCCTTCTACTCAGTGTTCTTAGGTTATCTACAATTTATAAGTCAAGGAAATCAAAGCTTAAGCTTGCTATGATTCGGATAATATGCCAACTGACGCTTTACCTGATATATGCCCGCTAGATATTTAAGATGGAACTAATGCTTGGATGGATGAGTATCTATAACAATAGCTCAATTCCAACAATCATGTTTGTAATTAATAGCTGATATAATGATTTATTACTTAGATGGAAAAGGAACATCAATCATAAAAGAAAAGAAAACATTGACATATTGCACTAATGTTGCCTCATTTATGTAAAATTTGAGGCCAGGAAGAACCTGCAAGTATGACTAGCAATGCAAATCAAGAGATTGCAATGAGAAGCAATGCAGAGGACTCATCTAAAATTCCTTCTGCAATTCTCATGATGATTGTGCAGCTGGACTTTACTGTAGAGATTCAATCAACTGGCCATATGAGTCAAAGTGCTCTGCCTAAAGAGGGTAATCAAAAAATCAATTTTAAATTATTTTGCTTAGATAATATGAAACATGCACTACTGATTATGAATGCTAGAATAGCCTGTTCTGCTGGTATGCTTCATCAACTGATAGAAAACTTAACCAAACTAAATGCTTGCCTATGTATAGTCAGCCCATCAACACAATTTTTGGATGGTCAACGACTGACAGAAACATTTCTAGAACTTTGGAATTAATTATAGATGATTTTGAATTAAATGGAAAATACTGCTAATCAGGACTAGCTCATCCAGTCGATGTATATACTGCTAGGTGTGCAGTTGCATCATCAGTTTATGGCTACCCTATAAATAGTACTACTGGTAGCACCCTAGTAAAACCCTATGTTTGTGATCCTACTGATGTCAATAAAAAATGCAAAATTATAATAGATACCACTGGCCTGAATTCCACTCAATTATAATATGCGTCGCAAGGCAAAAGAGGCTATGTAGAAGTATTTTGCAAATGCTCACTAGCAGGTGGATCTTAAAGTAATGTAGGTTTTTGCGGTAGTGTAATTGGAACAGATGATTACACTAATGCTGTTGCATCATTGCTGAATGTATTGTAAAAGTCAAAATGCCATACTCTCGACAGAGATGACTTAAGATCTTAAAAAGATCCATGCGGAATTGGCACTAAGAATGAGGAATGGCGCTTCGCTGTTGAGAAAATGTTCAATGTTACATACTGGTAGTATATCTAGGTTGGTTCAGTCTATAGCTGTATCTACAAAATATTTGGAGACAGTTGGTATAATCTAAACTTAAATACTGCGTACCTGCTGAGCACAAGTGTAGTAATTTTCTCTGTGGTATTTGGGATGGTTAGTTATGGTAGTTGGATTTGAGTTCATAACAATTGAAGGTATATTAAAAATAATAATTCATAATTATTTCAGTTATTTTAACTTATGGGGTTTTGGGGTTTTGGGGTTTTGGGG